ACTAATTTTTGCTATTGCGTCGTAAAATTCGTTTGTTTCGATATATTATAAATACACTTGATTTCGTCTTAGTAAATTTTCCTCATCAAATAAAAATAATAACTCAAAGAACAAATAAAAAAACAAAAATTAAATCAAATAATCAAATAAATCTTTTAAAAATCTTTCAAATAAAACAAAATGAATACAACAACTATCATCATTTCTAAACCAGTTGTCATTATTACTTCCGAATTAACTGAAAAACCTGGTAATCCTACAAACTCATGTTCTATAATGTAAACGCTATCCGCTAATATGAAATAACGGAGGACGCTTTAATTTAAGAAGTAAAACCGGTCTTTCGATGAAATTGGTCTATCTTCGATTAGTTAGCCTGGTGCTACGATAATGAAGATCTGCACGAAATCCTCGTAACGAACCTTAACGGTCCTATAAAATCAATTTATTTATTATATTAATTCAAAAGTACATTAATAACATTGTAAATAAGAGTAATAGTTTTTAAAATTTTTTATTTTTTTATCTTTATTTTTATTTTTTTTTTAATATTTGTATATATCTGTTTTTTAATCTTTGATTAAAAAAGAATAAAATGAAAAGTATTTAGTCAATTTTATATAAAAAACTATTTCAAATGTTTATTGAATTTGTTATAAATTATTCATTGGTGCTCCTGATTATCTGAATTTAATCGTTCCATGAAAAATGTGGTGAATAAGGAAGCGAATGTTCACATAATATTTATTCATTTGTGAGAATACCCTATAAGAAATATGTATACGGAAAGGATACGTTTTGTATACATTTTATGCACGTTTCTATAGATTCCATATACAAATTCCGTATAATTAATAAGCAATTCATTTTTGAACATTTTTTTAAAAAACTAATGTATACGGAAAAAATTAATCATACGGAATGTATACGGAATTTTTAAACTTAATATTTTTAGAAAATAATTTTACAAAAATCTCGTATCATAACACGAGATCACGTGATTGTTTATTGTTTTGTTATGATACGTTTTTTGTTTTTATATAAACCCTTACTTTGATGAGTTTGATCTTCCGATCTTCCTTTCTGCCTTTCCCTTCCTTCTCTTTTCTCTTGTCTTATTTTTGTTATTTTTTTTAAATTTTTCTTCTTTTTTCGTCATCCCCCTTTTAAAAAAAAATTTTTTTTTGATTTTATTCTTTTATTCCCACTCTTCTTTTTTTTTAAAAAAAATTTCTTCTTTCTATTTCTATTTCCTCTTTATAAAAAATTTTTATTTTTCTAACTTTGACGTCCTCCCTTTAAAAAAAAAATTTTTTTTAACTTTCCTAATTTCGTTACTCTCTTTTTAAAAAAATTTTTTTTTTGATTTATTCTTTATTCCCCTTTCTTTTTTATTTATATTTATCCTTTTTTTTATTTTATAGGCCAGCAGATTTTTTTTTGTGAGAAGATTCAGTTTCTTTTTTTCTTTTTTGTAGATCAGTTTGGGAGTCCTTTCCTTTTTGTAGGATTGTTCAGGATTTTTTTCTTTTTTTAGGTC